CTCCAGACCTGAAGCTCAAGTTGCATTCCTGGTTCATCCTGGCTCTGCTCAGGGGCTGTGACACCTGACCTGCCATCTTAACCTCTCTGGGCCTCAGTTTCCTGTCCAGTCTCCCCCCCCCAATAAGCAAAAGCAAACTTACAAAGCAATCCATTAGTCTGGTCAGCAAGGTCCCTGACCACTTCCCTCCCATCTCCCCCTTCCCCCCATCAGCCAGGCCCAGAGGCCCTGAGGAGGATGGGTAGCCAAAAACAGATGGTTGCAGGTGGGCTCACAGAGAAGAAGCAGGTGCTACTCAGTCCTACTGCTCAAAACAGGGAAGGGCGTAGCCATCCCTGTCCTGGGCCTGGTGCCAATGGTTCTGGCTCTGGCTGCCTGGGCTTTGAGGGGGAGACGGTACCGATGGCTGGTCTCTGGGTCAGATGACGAACAACAGGCTCTCTGCCCACTGAGAAATGTGGGTTCTGCAAAAGTGCCCTCAGCCCTCCCTGACCCACCTCACAGCAGGGATAGCGCCCAGCCAGGATAGGCAGGCAGGAGGCCACTCAAATTGCTGAGCCTCTGTGGGAGGCTTGTAATCCTGCCTAATCCTGTTGGGCCTCAGATCCCTGCGAGGGAAGGAAGACCACACATGTGGCCTCACAATGAGGCAGCCTGGCCATGGCCACAGGCCAGGGCAGTTGCTCTCACTCAGCCCTGAGCCCCTTGGGGTTCTGGGGGTCTGGGTCCAGGACTGGCACACAAGGCATCGAGCTGACAGGCCAGCTCTCCGTGGCTCATGCTCAGCCTGGTCGAGGTCCAGGACCTCCAGACTCCAGAGCTGGGGCCTCCACCTTGGGCGGGTGGGCCAGGACCAGATGGGAGACCTTGGGGCTGCCCTGGAGTTTCATTCACACTGGACACTCGGGAAGTCCATGAAAAGAACTGTGTCTCTGAGCTGATGGCCTTAGTTCCTGAAAATGGCCAAGTTGGAAGCCGTAACTTGGTATGGGAACCACATAGGCCAGCCCTAGAGGGGGCAGCCTCCCCAGCCCACCTCTTACCACCTGGGCCCATGCCTGGTCATGGGGACGGTGACCTCAGGCCACTTAGGCCTTGTCCACCCTCTGCGGTGGCTGCTGGGTAAGTGCCTCCACCTCTCCAGGGACAGAGTAAATGAGGGTGGCACTGGGCAGAGGGTTGCATCAGCACACTCCCCACATTCGGGAAATGATAGATTGGGGGAACCCAGAGAGGGAAATCTGAGCAGAGACTCGAATGCCAGGAGTGTTGCTGGGACAGAGGCTGGGCCAGGGAGGCCATGCGGAAGGAGAAGATGAGGCCGGAGGGAAAGCAGGATCACAGGGTCATGAAAACTATGGTTGGGACATTGAGTTTTGTTCTAAATGTGTGTGTGTGTTGTGGGGGTGGGGGGTCAGCATCACTCTGGTGCTCACATCAGAGGACTGTTATCTGCTCTTGCCCAACAGATCACTCCAGCAGTTGACAGTGTCCGCCGGGACTGCTGAGACCTGACCCAGAGCCCACCCCCTCCCTCAGTGGGTGGGAGCAGGGGGCTGCAATCAGGAGTTCTGCAGGGAGTAGGGGCCAATTAGGGCCTGCGGAATTCCTCTTGATCAAAGAGAACAGGCAGTGGTGTGTGTCTGCAGATGGTTCATGGCCCAAGGCTGGTTACTTTGAAAACAATCTAAGATACAGGGACATTAACAATCAAGTATCTAATTTAATTCTGGTTTAAAAGACCACTTAAGACTGAGCAGCTGAGTGAACTGTGGGTCTGCCCGCCCACTGTTTCTTCCCCAGTCCTGGGGGCAGGAGGCTGCTGGGTGGGTGTCTGGGCTGAAGATGGGGACAG